GTATGGGGGTATTGGGGGCCGCTATGGGGGTGTTGGTGGTGTTATTAGGGGTTCTGGACCCCAATTTTATTTTATTTTAATTAATTTATTTATTTTTATTTTGCGGGGTGCTGACGACCCCCGACCGGTAGGTGCCGACCAGCCAATCGGTCGGCGGGTCGGCAGGCGACCAGTCAAGGGCCGCCGACCGTCGGGGGGTGCAATGCAACCCTGCTCGGATGCAAAAAAAAGCCAAAGTTGTCCTGTTTGGGAAGAGTGTAGCTAGAACCTCCTAATTTGCCTGCATCTCCCGCTTGCCTCTGGCCACTCTGTAGTATTACCCTGTTTTTTGGTAAAACTAAGCTATATTCTTCTCTCCATGAAAACCCTTTCACTACCTACCTACATGTCTAAGGAGCTGGCTCTATGTCTAATGTCCACACGAAAGTCCAACCGATATCTATACCAACCCCCAGCTAGGGATGGATGGCAGGGGCAAGGGCCTCCGAGAGAACCCAAGACCCTACCAAGACCAACCAGGGGGGGGCAAGGCAACTATGTCAGCTGATGAACATCAAGCACGCAGCAGGCGGCCGTGGGGGATTGAACCCACGACCTCCTGAATGCCACTTGCATGTCATGTCACTCTCTCTTGCTTTGCTCTACCTGCTTCCCAGCACTCTGCTGCACCGTCAAGGGTGAAACAGACAGGTTTTCGATCCCCTTTCTTTGCACCCGACTTAACATGGCCACCGGTTCAACACCGCCTCTTTGTAAGTAGCTGAGAAGTATAAGCAAGCGTGTGTCTAGATTCACCTAGCAACATGTGATTCCTTTTTGAATTCATTTTGAACTTTGAATTCATTTGCAACTTTGGAATTCGCTGGCTTATTTTAAAGTTATTTTCAGAAGAAAAAAAAAAAAAGAGGCATGAGATCGACTCCTTGCTGTCCATTGGATGTCATCACAGCCTGTCCATTGGATGTCATCACAGCCTTTCTACTTCACTTTTGACATGGTAACAGTAGAGAAGAATTAGGTCTGTGTTTGAACTTTTAACCATAGTGCAACTTGCAAAGCGTAGTTCACTTTCTGTTGACGGGTCCGACTCATCAGTTGTCTTGGAGCCGGTGCAAACGTGAACCCACCCATGATTTCTGGACCCTTTTACTGCCAGCCAATATGCCTGGTCTTCCAAACTTGCCTGGTTCTCTTCCGATGACCTACGGTTGTACACTGAGGTCACCGGTTAGCTCTGGTTAACTGTGGTTAACTGTGTTTAACTGTGTTTAACTGTGGTTAACTGTGGTTAACTGTGTTTAACTGTGTTTAACTGTGGTTAACTGTGGTTAACTGTGGTCACTGGCGAATGGCGGCAGTGCTTACATCCTAGAAAAGGCTTGCTAGGGCCCCAATGCGCTGGTGGTTTAGGTAACCAAGGTTCACAGTGGCTCTGGGTTCCTGCCAGTGTTCAAGGGGGATCTATCACCAACTAAAATAGGCCCAACCCCATCTTGCATTGGCAAATCAGGCTCGGGGGGGTGCACAGCAGGGGAGAGCAGGTTAACGAATGTCTAAAATTTCAGACAATTTGTCACGCCATTTATAACAAAACCAACCAAAACAAAAACAGGCAAAATAAAATAAATTAAAATAAAATAAAATAAAATAAAAATTGACCCCGAAATCCTAATTTCAGTTCTGGACACATTAACCAAGGAGCTGAAAGTGGGGGTCCCCGTTAACCACTTGTGCAGCAGGGTTGACGGATCGGGCTCAGGTAAGCAGCAGGGTTGGCGAATCAGGCTCGGCCGCACGGCAGGCTTGACAAATCAGGCTCGGGTGCACAGAAGGGGTGAAAAATCAGGCTTGGGCGCACAGAAGGGTCGGCAAAATAGCCTCAGACACATAGCATGGTTCACAAAATAGGCCCGGGTGCATAGCAGGGTTATCAACACATAAGTTCAGCTGCATAGCAGGCTTCACATAGTAGGCTTGAGAACGGTAGGGTAACGGTTCAAAACATGCAAAGGTGTCAAACAGATGTCCTTGCTGAGATCTTCAACCTGATTGCTGAATGCTTAGTAGACATGCTGGATGCACAGTACAGGTAAAGTGGAGTTAGTGCTTCTATACTCCCCCCTTAGCTCTCTCCAGTACAAACTCCAATTCCTCCCTCTGCCGAAGATGATAGGATGAGTCAACCGTCGACCTTTTGCTCCTCGGGATGCAAGTTCATCGGAGCTGCCATAATCTGCAAAGCAGAGGAAATTCAGACTTTAACCAGCAGGTATAGTCTGAACTTCCTTCTTGAAGTTCCCAGTATAGTCTGAAAGTCCTTCTTCCCAGTATAGTTTGAACAACCTTCTACCCAGTATAGTTTGAACTTCCTTCTACCCAGGATAGTCTGAACTTCCTTCTACCCAGTATAAACTGAAGTCACTGAACGTCCTTCTTCCCAGTAGAGTCGCAACTTCCTTCTTCCTAGTATAGTCTGTTCTTCCGCCGTCCCAGTATAGTGCGAATGTCCTTCTTCCCAGTATAGGATGAACTTCCTTCTTCCCAGGATAGGCTGAAATTCCTTCTTCCCAGTGTGTAATCTGAACTTCCTTCTTCCCAGTAGTGAGTGAGTGCACTTCCTCTTTTCTGCGAACTCGGAAGTGGCTCCGAACAACAGGCGCCCTTGACGGCACTGTTCCTTGCAAATGTGCCCAGTGGAGATGGATTGCCTTTTCACTTACATGCCTTGTTACTTTTTCCATCACTTACTGGCCTTCGTTCGATCAAAGGGCCAAATCACAGAGAGTGGCTCATGTTTTCTGATGTTGAAATCAGACCCACAATTCAACCTCAATCACCAAAGAACCAGAATTAGACCCAAAATGAAGTAGAACCAAACCCAGAACCGAGTCGGTATGGAGCTAGAACCAAGGCAGAACTGAGCCAGAACTAAGCCGGGATGGAGCCAGAACCAAGCCACAACCGAGCTACAACCGAGCCACAACTGAGCCACAACCGACCCAGAACCAGGCCACAACCGAGCCACAACGAGGCTACAACCGAGCCACAACGAGGCTACAACCGAGCCACAACCAAGCCACAACCAAGCCACAACCAAGCCACAACCAAGCCACAACTGAGCCACAACCGACCCAGAACCGCGCCAAAACCAACCCAGAACCAAGCCACAACCGAACCACAACCGAACCACAACCAAGCCACAACAAAGCCACAACTGAGCCACGACTGAGCCACAACCGAGCCAGAACCAAGCCAGACCTAGCCAGAACCAAGCCAATTGAGCCACAACCGAGCCACAACCGAGCCACAACCGAGCCACAACCGAGCCACAACCGAGCCACAACCGAGCCACAACCGAGCCACAACCGAGCTACAACCAAGCCACAACTGAGCCAGAACCAGGCCACAACCGAGCCACAACCAGGCTACAACCCAGCCACACCCCAGCCACAACCAAGCCACAACCAAGCCACAACCAAGCCACAACCAAGCCACAACCAAGCCACAACCAAGCCACAACTGAGCCACCACCGACCCAGAACCACGCCAGAACTGAGCCAGAACCATATGAGGAGTAAAATGAAGCCAAGCTCATCTGAACCAAACTGGAACTGAACCAGAACAAAATGAGACCAAATTACATATGAACCAAACTGGAAGTGCGCCAGAACTCAATGAGAACCAAACGAGATCAAGATCGAGCCAAAACTGGACGAGTGCCAGAGCTTAACTTAAACCACCACTACATCCGAGCCTGTTTTTACCGACCCTGATTTTCACTGCACGCCGAGTTTTGTCAAGCCTGGGTTCCGTTTTGTTATTTTTCTGATACTGCAGTAACTGCACTGAAAAAAGAGCACGGCGTTACAGAGACGCCCTCACATCCACCCGAAAAGTAAAAGAAGATAAACCAAACACCCCTTATGACGTGATGTGGGGCGGATACGGTATCCAAAGTAGCTGTCTGAGTATGCCCTCAGTGAGGGTGTCACAGCCGCCGCGTCAGATGTGTAGTATGGAAAACAAAACAAAACAAAAAACAAAAAAAAATGAAACTGAACTTAGGGGGCCAAAAAGCGGGATGACACAGGATGCCAAGTAGTAGTAGTGCCAAATCAACAGCTAACATGAGTTTGCAGTTTGAACTTGACAAGAGCTAAACCAGAGTCGAACAAGAATGGAGCTATGACCAAACCATATCCAAAGAACTGAGTCCAACATCCGCACAGACACAGTTGAGGGCCGTCCGTAAAAGTCCAGATTCAGGGGTGGAAACGCACATCTCGTGCCACAGAAGGGTCTCAGAAAAGTCCTTTGGTCAACGAGTATAGGCTCAAAGTCAGAAGTGACAACACATGCCCCCACGGAGTGGTGGTTGACTCTAGGAGAATCAGGAGTCAGGCCCGAAAAGTAGCGAAAGAGTCAGAGATTTCTCAGGAGTCCACCACAGCCACAGCTCTGATGCGCACATCAAAGGCTGTCTGCATCGTTCTAGAGGTTTCTAAGGTCCAATGGGTCCATGCACACATTGGCCGACAGAAAATCTGAATCATCCAAGGCCACTCAGCACTACAGAAGAGTTGTCTGGTCCAATCGGCTCATTCATTCTGCGTTGTGCTGCTGGAGGTTCGAGCACTGCTCCACTTGGTGCTGGAAGAGGAACGAGAGCCTGGCGCCAGGTAAGAAGAAGACGGCGCCAGCCAGGAGGGACGAGAGAGGAGAGAGACAGTGGCCATAGCTATAGTAGGGCACCAAGCACCATAGCTGTTGTATAGAGCAAGTGTGAGGAAGTGTGTGTGTGCGTGTGTGTGTGTGTG